AAGCATGCATGTAATTTTGGAACATTTAAAATGGTCGACACATGTTTTAAACAATGAGATTGCGCTTTTGGTCTGAGCAAGCAGGCGAATCAATTCATCGATAATTTTAAAAAACACATAGAAAAACTATAAAATTAACTCGATAGACGATCCTTCATACGCATTTAATTTCTATTTTTATTGACATTTATCAACATTGAATGATTTTAAATTTATTAATATTTTATAAACAATTTAAAAAACTGAAAAAACAAATGCTGAAGGAGAGTAAATAATTAAAAACTATTTTACCATTTTTTATTATAAAGTGGTGCATAGTATCTATAACATATATTCTGTTAATCAAGTGATAAAACTGTTTTTGAACCATATCAGAAACGTGAATAGGTAGTATTTAAATCTAAAATGATCCTTAAAGTATAATACATAAAAAAGATGCCAGTTGAGGTTTTCTTTGACATTTTTGTTAAACTTTGTGACCGCTGAAGAACACTGTGCATTTTGATGTTAGTTAGTCCAGCAGCGGCCACCACCTTGAATAGGCGCCACCTTCCAAACTACTGTAACATAGATCCAATTGTCTGTGTGCTCGCCGCTAAATTGTATGTCACTTCTGACAAAAATTCAACTCGTATAACTTTATTTTTCAATACTTATTTACAAATTACATACAAATATGGAAAATATTCTTCAGCAGTACGCTTTAGCAACTTTGAAACTTAAAAGATATTAATATTTTGTGCAAATTGTAGCTGTTGTCCAAAAAAACTTTTTTTAAAAAGCGGCTTGCGATGTGCACAATAAAACGGGAACAACTCAAGTCAAATAAAAATCCATGGTAATTTTAATTTTACGGTGGGGCGAAGTGTTTAGCACGAGTCGAGCACTTCAATTCGCTCATCTCAGTTCTTGACTCGTGCTAAAGACATTCGTCTGCTCCGTAAATCGTCCAATCTTCCCCATATTGCACATTATACTATTTGACATTAGACTCGTATTCGGCACATTCAAAATGATAAGAATTCATAACCACAATTCAAACTGTTGAGTAATAGAAAGGTTGTATGCTCAAGGTGCATTAATTAGCAGAAGTTTCGTAAAAAGCATCTATTAACGGAGGTTTGAGTTTTCGCAGATGCACAGGTGCATTCCACCTCGGTGGCACTACTAGTACAGTTTTCCATAAGAATAAACTAACCAGAGAGTTGACCGTCACCACTGATGGCGCTGACTGTACAAGGGTGTGGGTAAGGCGATATTAAATATTACACCAACATTCCCAGTATGTGTTCTTGTTAAATAACTAACTCTATAATTATTAATTTTTCTCAAAATACTTTATTACTATTCTTATAATATTCTGCTCGACTTTTACAAAACACGTCTGCTTCGTATCGGACGGTAAACCAATATAGCTTTAGAGCACTTATGTTCACGTTCACATACATTTACACACAGTCTCTACTCTCCGCCGATTAACCAACGATATTTTTTTTAATTAAAAATATTTAATAATATTTATCTTATTATATTACAAAACTTAACATGGTCATAAAATATTTATACATAAATAAAACAAGAAAAAAAATAAAACTGTTATGATTCGACTTAAACTTATTATAAACGTTACTTCTTTACACAAGAATAATTGTGTTATAGCTTTAAAAATCTATTTACATATGCCGGAATATATCAAAAATTCGTTACGAAATAACATAGGGACATAAGATCTGACAATCTCTTCTGATATATTGCATATTATTGGGGTGTGATCAGGACCCCACAACCTAAGACTTAAAGATGTTGGATTATCTTTGATTAGATATTCTAATTCTATGTCAACTATATCAACACTTTTTGAAAGCTTTCTCCGCTAAGGGAGGCGATGTCCGCTACCGTTAATGAAAAATCCCATAAATTTAGAATCGGATTTACCGAAAACACATTTTCCCAAATTCAGTCGAAAGCCCGCCCAAGTAATGTGCTAGAAGACGGTACGCAAATAAATCTCATGCTCCTCCTCAAAAAGACTGCTGTTTTTGGGATATGTTCAGAAACAATGAGGATCTGATTGTATGCTAATTGAAGATCTAAACTAGAAAAAGTCTTTTTCCTAAATCATAGAAGACACGTCTCGGATAAATGAAATTGGATATCTATCTGGAACTGTTACAGAATTTAATCTACGGTAATAATCACCGCACACTCTCCAACCACCGTCCTTCTTCGAAGTCATATGAAGAGGTGTTGCAAGGTGGCGAGTGCACTCTGATATAGGAAGTTCCGTTGTATGAATGTTGTTTACGACGTCACTAGTTACACCACTTTATTTTTGGAATGTGTATATTGATGCAATACCAGAATTTCATTCGAATAAACGACAAAGGCCAAAATTTAAATTTAACTGACGATCGCCAGACGTGTTTATGAGCGAATTATTCGCAGTATCTAGAATCTACAAGGAATACAAATCCGAAATCTCGGTCCTTAATAAAGAGGTTTTTCGAACCTGCAACTTCACCGTGAACATGTAGTGAATTCATTAGTTTTCCGATTTATCAAATTTTTTAAAAGTGCAAGGTGGTTTGCATATATAACGGCTTTATTTCTGAAGCTATCGTAGTAAAAGCAAAAATTATTATTATGGTTACCAGATTGTGATCTACGTCTATTATTCGATCCAGTTTTCGATCGCTTAATACGATACGCATTGTTATCTTTTACTTAAAAGACATTTAATTTGGCATTAAAAACCGTTAGGTAAAAAATCGCGAAAGAAAAATAAATAATAAAATGTGTTGAACTTGTCATAAAGAGATTATAATTTGTAAGAGATTTTCATTCACACAAACACAAACATACTTACAATCATAAAGCGCACATCATTAAAAAAATTAAACATTTTAAAGTTCCATATGCCACGAAGTTCCTGTTGATGGTGATGTAAACGCGTAAATGGTGATGGTGAAGTCCATGGTGAACTTGATACATGTAGATAAACTGTTATCTAGCTAAAACAAAGAAAAAATCATACCTGTTGCATGGGTGGAATAGTAAGCCTATGCGCCGTTTTCAAAAAGCGTTTAAAATAAATGATCAGCAACCGTACTTAGGAAATATGCAGCACCGCTGACGTCATCTTCGAAGTTATTTTGGAATAGCGAAGGTCCGATTTCAGATGAATAAAATGTTTATATAGGTTGAAAATTGATCCAATGCAATCGAAACATATTACAGAAAATGAATTGTAGGTCCTTTTTTGAAGAAACTAATCATCTGTATGGTTGCAGTTTTTATTAATAAACATCACAATCGGATGGCCACAAAATCACCAGATAAGTGTTGATTGAGAAAATTTATTTTTCTCACCGACATTACGTCAGGGTCACTAATTTGAGTAATGCGGTATAAATCTAAATACAGTCAGGTCTCACAAAGTGTCGTATTAAGTAAGTATCATGGCTCACAAAGTGTCGTCGTTCAAGAGCCGACAAGTGTCACTGTCCCCACTTTTTTTACTCTTTTTAATGCGAAAAATCAACTTTGCCAAAACATAAGCCAATGTAGTGACAACTTTTACTAAGAGGGCGTGGCTTAGGCCAATGACACTAACTGAGACCGACGGACCCAACAAATTTCCAGTGACGACATTTAGCGAGACCTGACGATATTACACCAAGATTCATACTATGTGTTCTTGTTAAATAACTAACTCCATAATTATTAATTTTTATAACAACACTTTATTAATATTCTTAAAATATTCTGCTCGACACTTATAAAGCACGTCTGCTTCGTATCAGACGATAAATCAGTATAACATTAGAGCGCTCACTTTCACATACATACACAATCCCTACTCTCTACCAAGAGAGGGGTGAAATGCTTTAGATTACAAAGAAAAATTTAGTTTAAAATCCTTAATATTTATTGAGTGGTATTTATTTGTACATAATATTGATTCAGTAACAGTTTAGCATATTCTATAATATCAAAAATTTATAAAAAATGTTTAACATTTTATTTATAATGAAATTGGTAAAAAATTTATGTCAGGAAGTTCAAATTAATAATATATAATTATTTTTATTTTTTATTATTGTTATTCATTAATATTTTACAGTGTAAATAAAAATATGTTAGAAGATTTGTTTATTATAATATTATATAGTACTTAATTTTAATTTTACAATATGAATTTTTGCACAATTTTTATCATAAATAAAATGTTAAACACTTTTTTAAGTTATTGATATTACCTATGAAATATGCTTAAAAGTTATTGAATCAATATCATGTACAAATAAATACTATTGAATAAATATTAATAAATGTAAATTTAATTTTTCTTTATAATCTCTAACTTCACTTCATATTGTCCCACTGTGCAGTCAAGGGCCATCGGTGGCGACGGTTAACTTACTGTTTCGTTCCAACGCAAAATTGTCACTGGTGTGGTGCATTCTGACACGCAGCTTGTTTTTTGAGAGCTGTATCGATATAATTATCACATGAATACCTAACTCTAATCCAAAAAGTTTAAATGACATCTAATAAATGTCACAAATCGCTAAAAGTCAATATCTTCATTCGTAGTTGTAACATAAAATTTAGGCTGTTCTCGTGCAAGGCTCATTTTTTCACATTCTAAAATTCCAATTTTCGGAAAATAAGAGCCATCTTAGTATTCAGTGACATCAAAATTACCATATGAGACAAACAAGTTCACTATTTATGCAAATTGAGTTGTTTAATAAAAGAAAATTTACATTTTTTTCAATAAAAGAATAAACCTCTGGATATTATCATTTTATTTTTAAAACTTTGTAATATTTAATTATATTTTGAGTAAATATCTGAGCTTACTAACAAAAACTATGAAAACTCATAAGTATTATTTTAAGTAACTTGAGGTTTCACTATTTTATTGATAAAAATTTGCGTGCTCTTTCTTGACTCAATAATTAAATTAAATCGTTTGTTATATAAAAAATACATACCGTCATACCACAAGCATCCATTGCGTAAAGAAGAGGGCGACATTCAAGAGCTCGATAAAATGGATAGCAAGGTGCCACGTTTATAACTATATAAGCATTTGAGAAAATTTGAAAGAGGTTATAACATTTTATAAACGTGTTTAATTTGTAGGCCGGACGATTTTTCATAAAAGTTGGTGCCAATTTAAATACAACAACAACATAAACAAAAGTAATTATAATTGGGTACCAAATGCTGTCCATAATTAACCAATCTCTCATTCGCGGATCTGAAAATTTTAAAAAACAATTTTTTTACTGCCGATATAAAATGATTAGATTAATACCCAGAGAGCACCACCTTTTAAAGGGAGTACTCAAGGACTTCGCAATGCAAAGTTAGGAAGGGCTAAGGAGCCCTTCAAAAAACAGATACATTATAATATTATTTTGTTTAATCAACATTATTTATACTAAAATTAAAAAACCTATATAATGAAGATGAGCAAATAATAATCATAATTAAATTATTAAACTGAATATATTAAACTTGAAACTAATAAAACAAAAGCATCACTTGATGAAAGTTGATAGAATTAAACTATAATTACATTAAACAACCAAAATATATATAATGAGAAAAAAATTAAAAAGAATATTAATTTTCGATGTAATAGAATTCAATTCAACAACTAATTTATTAACATCTTCTCTCAGAAAGCTGATTCATCCCTAGGCATCGGACCCAGGTCTTGGAAATTTTCTCCGAGCAGTCTAAACAAAGAAGTGGTTGGAGGAAGACATCCTAATTATGGTCATGGTTTCGTGAATACGTCAGCTAACTGATCATGTGTAGGTACAAATTGAAGGCTAATTTCTTTTGACTCGTATTTTTCGCGCACATAGTGATAAATAACGTCAATATGTTTGTTGCATTTGTGGTAACTCGAACTTCGGATTAATTTTAAAGCACTTTGATTGTCAATACACAGGGTGGTTGATGTTGATATTTGGAACACATACCCTGTAGTGGAACGCCTAATATCCTGGTCGTAAGCACAATCGGAATCCGAAAACACGAATAAATCTTTATAAATGACATCTTTCGTGTACTTAATGTCATATTCTTAAGTCCCTTTCAAGTATTTTAAGACTCTTTTGGCTGCATTTCAATGCTTTTGAGTTAGGCATAATATCTGGGCGGGTGGTGATACTGCATACGTCAGACAGCCAAATACTTCTCTAAAAGGAATGTTGTGCGTCATAAGTTCTCCTAGGTTTGATGTTAGAATAGGTTGTGCGTCTGTTGGAGTAGAATTCGGAACTGAATCTGCAATGTTGAATTTCCTAAGCATCCACTATATGCAACTTTTTTCACTTGTCTGATTTGAATTGAATAAATCCAAATTTTTGCAGGAAACTATTACATTTTTTTCCAGAAACGCGATGGTTGTTTCAGACCATAAAGTGATCTTTTCAATTTGCAGACTATTTTACTACCAACATTCAAGCCGTCGGGTGAAAGCATATATACATCCTCTTTCTACCTGACATGAACAAAGGCAGTCTTTACATCGAATTGATCAATCCTCAGGTCTTTTTTTACGGCTATTGCTAGTAAAACACGAATTGTGTCATATCTCGTGGTTGGAGATTAGGTTTCGTTGTAGTCGATTCCATGAGTTTGTGAAAATCCTTCGGCACATAGTCTGGCTTTGTAACTTTGAATTTCACCATTTTCATTTAGTTTTACTTTGATTACCCAACGTGAGCCTATAGGTTTAATATCTAATGGTAAAGGAATTAATTCCCAAGTGCCATTTTTATTTAAAGCGTTGAATTTTTTTTGAATGTCAATTTTCCAATGATTGGCGTCTTGACAGGTCAGTGCCTCTTGAAAATTCCACACTGGCACGTTATTTTCATCGTTCTCAATTTGTACTTCATTGACAGGATTTCGATCCTGATATTCGTCTTCCTGATTAGGCTGCTGATCTCCATCTTCTTGTGGATTTCTTCTTGAGTATTTTCGTTGAAAGTCACGTTTCTGGCTATTTTATCTTTTTAGATTCGGGAGCATAGAGTAGTTAAATGACTCTTGCTCATATCCTACAAGGATTAACTTCTTACTTTTTGCGTCTAACTTCGTTCGCCTTGCGTCGGGAATAAGCATATATGCTTCACTGCCAAAAACTCTCACGTGGTCCAATGATGCTTTTCTTCTTGTCCATATCAGTTGAGTTTGAAATGAGACTGTTGGGAGTCCTATTGAGAATGTAATTGGCGGTTTTCATTGCTTCTCTTCACAAATTATGTATTTGTTATTTTTCAGCAAATATAACAGGTAACAATAAGGGAGTAAAACCCATTAGACGGGTGGTCCAGGCAAATGCGAGTACTCCTAATTTCAAGACGTTCTGTAGGCGCAAAACTTAGAATTAAGAAATATATTTAAGAAATATTGTAAGAGCGAAATGTAAACACACTTGTATAGCTAGATAAGCTTAAGACGGGTGTATAAACCAAATAAAAAAATAAATAAATAAGGGAGTCAAATTGACTTTCTAGTTGGTACCGAAAGATACTGAACCCTGATATTTTTAGAAATACGACAGAAAACTGTGGATAAAAATATTACATATTTTATGTAATTTACGTGTTATATTTTTCTATTCCTCCTAGTAACTTATAAAATAAGAGAAATTAACAAAAAAAACAACAAACGGTAAATGTTTAGATAATTATGACAGGAGCAGCTTATCTGCATAATTACCGTTTTTCTAATTACCATAAATAAATTAGGTCATATTCTTCTCCTTTCTTCGACGGCCGGAGTAATTTTCTCAATTTTACTTAGCGAGACTTTTTCCTTGCCTTCACTGTCCGGGTCACAGATATTTACTATTTAATGCGTCGTATTGTATCCGCCATTTTGAATGATAACATCAGATTAAAATTCAGCGAGCTCAGAAGCCCCCAACCCAAATAGCACAACATTTCGCAGGGAGTTTTCAATGCGAATTTGTGACGAATAGTATAATAGTTTCAGATAAGTTCCCTGAACCTCTAAATTTCTCCAGATTTAAACATTTCTGTGTTAACTTTTAAGAAGTTATTGATGTAAAGCTGAAAAAAATAAAAGGAAAATTTGTTAAATTTTAGAATAATATTATTAAAATAAATCGATTAATTTACTGATTTTAATTATTTAATTATTCGTCACTTGGGGAAGAATGTTGCTATATATATAATACTGTGCCATATACTGTTCCAACTCAGATCAACGATGAAAACTGTGCCTTCTCGTGTAAGCAGTGAAAAAGTTCCAATTCATATGAACAGGGAGGAAAATGACTTTTCAGGAATTTTAAAATTTGTATCCTTTTTTAGGTTCTAAATACAATGATTTTTATTATTGAATTTAAATATTTTTAAAAATACATTTTATACATGAAATAATAAATAGTTAATCTGTTTATGTATAAAATTTATTTTTAAAAATATTTAATTCAATTATAAAAATTATTGTATTTACAACCTAAAAAAGGAAACGAATTGTAACTTTCCTGAAAAGGAACTTTCTTTCCTCTTCATATGAATTGGTAATTTTTAACCGCTTACACGGAAAGACACAGTTTTCATTGTTGATCTGAGTTGGCACACTTTTCCCCCCAAGTGACGTATTGACCTATTTAATTTTGAGATGTTAGGATTTTAAAGAAAGATTTTTTGTTTTGAAAAATAAATTGGGTGGACTGAGGATTGAACCCGGATTTATATTTATGAAGCGCGGAAATGATAACAGCCAACCAAACGAAGTAAGTTAAACAACCAACTACTTTTTGAGGAAAAAGCTTTCTTTTAACTTGTAAGTAATTTTCGTATAATTGAAACATTTTTATTATTATTGAGGTTAATATTTTAAAAATAATATTTAATGGTATTTAGTGCTTAAATAAGATTGACTAAGTAAACAAGTTAACTCCTTGCGAACTTCTTGCAAAATGTTGTGCTATTTGGGAATAGAACATCGTTAAAATTTGTTCAAGGGATATTGCCATACAATGGATAATAAACAAGTTGTTCATTGTATGAGCATTTAGCTTCCTAAATATAATAAACAAATTTTTTTTAAAAAACACTGACATGAATATCATTTTCAAACTGTTTTCGAATCATTAGTAAAATTAAAACTTTATAGCTATTTATTTATTGATTTATACACCTGTCTTCATCCTTAAATATTTAGCTGTACAAGTGTTTTTACATTTCGCAATTTTGTCTTACAAATTTTTCCCTATCAAACTTAATACTAATTTTTGCGATTCTCGACTCAATTAGGATTTTGTCAACTTAACAATTAACTTGGTATAACTTTTTTACGAATATTTTTAAGTAACTATACATTATCTATACAATAAGAAGTAATTTGAACTCTTACAGGAATATGTGCCACTTATGGGTTCATACCACTTTACACGCTTGTAAATGAAGCTATTTTTCAGAATTTTTTTTACGATTCCTATGGATTATATTGATCTGCATCTTTTTTAGTTCAATACATTTTTTTAACTTTATAAAAAACCTTATTTCATTAAAAAAATATTATTTGTTTCTTTAAAATTTAATAATACTTTTAGACCTGCTGAAAGTACCGATGCCAGCTGCGTAATCGATTTCTCCGGTAAGAAAAATCTGAATTACAAAATGCAAGTTTATTTAAGTTCAGTAGAACTGTGCTTGTTGTCCGAACTAGAATTTTTAATTTTTTTGCAAAAATATCAAAATGGCGACAATTTAAAAAAAGATTTTCGAAGATTAAGGTGTTTTATGGTTTAAAAAAATAGTGAAAATTAATATTTTTAAATAATAAAATTCTAGTTTCGACAATACCCACATATGTGACGAAGATTTTCGTAAAAAAATTTAAGAATCGGTCCTGCAGTTTCTAAGAAAAACATGACGCAGCATGGAAAAATGTGGTTTTGAGAAAAACGCGTTTATAAACGCGTTTTTCTCAAAACCACATTAACTTTATAAAGTTTGTGTTGTAAACTTAAATAGCCTGTGTACGCGTTCAAATAGCACTGAAAAAAATATTTTTTGAGTGCTGGGATATTTCTAAAAATTTTATACCACATTTTTGACATATTTGACTATCGAAATCCGTAATAAGAAAATTTTTATTTTTTGAAGATGACAAAGTGGTATGAACCCTTAAACATGAGGAAATAAGTATGTTTTTAAGAATTTCTTTTTCCGCGATACATAGAAAGTTAATTTATTTTATCGCTTTGCATATAATATTGAAATATCTGAACAATATTTCTCTAAATTTTAATTCAAAAATATTAGGAATTGAGCGAGACAATGAGATTTTCCTCAGGCGCCTCCATAAAAAATAGATTCGCGGTGTGCACTCTAACTCGCAATAGAATCATCAAAAACAAAAAAATCAAAGTGGTTTTGTTAAAGGAGATGTTTTTTAAAGTGACGCTCCCTAGTAAAAATATCGGACTAATTCCGGATTAAATACGGACAGATTAGTACGGATTAGTCCGAAAATTGTACGATAAATGTCCGAAAATGATCCGCGTTGGTCTGATATCAATCCGAACGAAAACCTGAATCCGAAAACACTCCAGAGTAATCTTGAATGTCTACGAATTCAGTCCGCAACAATCCGAATTTATGACCGGTGAAGAATTCTTCTAAAATAAGTACGGAATTATCCGAAATCAATATGTAAAGAATACGGAATCAGTCCGCAACAATCCGAGTTTAATATAGTTAAAAAAAACTTAATCCGCAAAATGTCCGGAGCAATCCGAACTCTATAAACAAGAAATCCGATATTAGTTCGCATCAGTTTAAAATTAATTGTGGCAAAATCCTTTTCCTAAACAATCCAAAAGCTGTATGCAATGAATCCGACAATTGTCTGCAACAATTGGGATTTAATCCAATTGAAAGACATAATCTGAAACAATTCGGATTTAATACAATAAAAAGGCATAATCCGAAACAATCCGAAATCTGTAAAAAATGAATCCGACATTAGTCCCCTTCAATTTGGAATTAGTGTGGATTAGTCCGATAATTGTACTAAAATGTCCGAAAATGATCCGCGTTAGTCTAACATCAATGCCAGCGAAATAATGATTCCTAAATCAGTCTGGAGTAATCTTGAATGTCTATGAGTTAAGTTCGTTATTATTCCGCAACAATCCGAAATTATGTCCGTTAAAAAATTTATCTAAAATAAAACAATCCGTATTCAATCCAATTAAAAGACTTAATCCGGAATGATTTTGGAATAATATTGAATTTGTATATGGGGCAAAATTCCTCAACTGTCCAGGTCAAAAAATGAATTTTCTCTAAACTTTGCTAAAATGTAACTATTATTAGTAGAAGTGTAAATATAAATTTTTTTTGAATTTGATAAAATATTTTTTGAGTTATGAAGTTTGAAAATTTTGATTTTTTTGAAAATATCTTTTTTTCAATTTAATATATTGATAAGTAAAATTAATCAAATTTAAAGTATCAATAGTGATTTTTAAAGGGGTTTTCACGGGCTATAAGCTGGTGATGAAAAAAAGTTGTTTTTTTTCAATTTGACCTTGAAATTCAAGGTCAAATTCTTAATTTCAATATATCTCAAAATCGATGTTTTTTATTTTTTTCTAACCTATCCCGATCCAAAGCTTACCTTTTTTCCTATGAGCCATGTAAAAATCAGAGTGGAACCATGGAAATTTTTGAAGAAATTAATAATAAATCATCATTTTCTATGTAAAATAATGATAAATTATTATTTTCCTCAAAAATTTCCATGGTCCTACTCTGATTTTTACATGGCTCATAGGAAAAAAGGTAAGCTTTCGATTGGGATAGGTTAAAAAAAAATAAAAAACATCGATTTTGAGATATATTGAAATTAAGAATTTGACCTTAAATTTCAAGGTCAAATTGAAAAAAACAACTTTTTTTTCATCACCAGCTTATAGCCCGTGAAAACCCCTTTAAAAATCACTATTGATACTTTAAATTTGATTAATTTTACTTATCAATATATTAAATTGAAAAAAAGATATTTTCAGAAAAATCAAAATTTTCAAACTTCATAACTCAAAAAATATTTTATCAAATTCAAAAAAAATTTATATTTACACTTCTACTAATAATAGTTACATTTTAGCAAAGTTTAGAGAAAATTCATTTTTTGACCTGGACAGTTGAGGAATTTTGCCCCATATATGTTATAGTTAAAGTCCGAAATTCAGGTAATGTGCACATTAACTAGTTAATCTGCGGATTACCTGATCAAATCCGTTAAAGTTCAAAAGAAAATTTTTTTTTCGAACATTAACTAGTTAATGTCCAGATTAACTAGTTAATGCGAACATTACCGAGTTTACTTTCGTTAAAGTGCGAAAAAATGATTTATCTGAAATAAAACATGAATTATTATTTTTTCAGAGTAAAAATTTTTATTTAATAACAAGTGTACAATATTAGAACTTTTTTTTAAAAATGAAATTATTACTTATATATTAAATAATTAATATTAATTATAATTAATTATTATATAATTATATTAGTTATAATTAATATAATAATTAATATCATTATTCAAATTGTCATTCAATATTATTAATTTTTTTAAAAATAAACTAATAATTACTTATTATTGCAATATAAAGCAAGACTGGTGGCATTTGGAGTTACAAAACATATTATTTTTACGACAAGCACACCTATTGGTTCTGCATTTGGAGTTGCAATCGCACTTTTGAAAACCCTGACCAGAACCAAAAGATTGTTGTATTGCCGTTTGACGCAAAGAAATTTTAACATTAGGAACATCTTTTTCTGTGAGAAATATTTGTTTACAAACACTAAATTGCGATCTTGCATATAATTGTTGTAGAATACCTGTTTTAGTACCCAGTTTGTAAAAGCCATCATCTGTCCTATTAAGTAAAACAGCCAAAATGGAATGTGCATCCGTTTTTGCCCTGTCAACATCAGGTACTTTAATCCTCACATTTGATCCTTTCTCGACGTTTGGATGTTTGGCGTCAGATAACTCCATCATTTTTTGAGCTGGTTTTTGGAAA